CCTGGGGAACGAGTGAAACTCCGTCTCAAGGGAAAAAAAAAAAGAAAAGAAAAGAAAGTGGTGTGTTTTTGAGCATTTAAAAAAGTTAAATGATAACATTTGGAAACAATTTCAATACATTTTATAATTTTTGATACAGCCATAAATGTTACTTTGATTACTTGTATTTGAGTATGTTTGGGTCGGGTACCTGACTGATTGCTTATACCAACTATGTTATTAATAGAAGATAGTTGGGACAGTCAAAGGCAAATTCTGATAAACTGATAAAGCTGAGATAGATCAGCAGTTTGCTGATTTGTTAAATTTTTAAAAATTTGTATTAATATAGGAAGTACAAGTACAGTTTTGATATATGGTTATGTTGCATAGTGCTGAAGTCTAGGCTTTTGGTATAACCATCACCTGTATAGTTTACATTGTACTCATTTCTAGTAAGATGAGTTTCTTGTCAGCAGCTTATAGTTGTTTTATCTATTCTGCCATTCTGTATCTTTTAAGTGGAGCATTTAATCCATTTACATTCAAGGTTAATATTGATATGTGAGGTTTTTTTCCTGTCATGATATTGTTATCTAGTTGTTTTATAGATCCTTTGTTTCTTTCTCTTTTTTTTCTGTTTGTGGTTTTGTGTTCTGTTGTGTTACCATTAAATTTCTTTCTCTTCCTCCTTTTTGTAATTGTATGACACCAATGAGCTTTATACTTACATGTGTTTTTATGATGGCAAGTATCAATTTTTCGTTTTCATGTTTAGGATTTTTTTGAGCATTTCTTATACTGCCAGTCTAGTGGTTATGAATTCCTACGGCATTCGCTTGTCTAGAAAAGACTTTATTTCTCCTTCACTTATGAAATTTATTTCTGCAGGATGCAAAATTTGTGATTGACAGTTTTTTTTTTTCTTTAAGCATTTTCAAATTAGAATCTCAATCTCTTCTCCCTTGTAATGTTGCTGCTGAGAATTTTGCTGTTACTCCGATGGGGTTTTCTTTATAAGTGACTAGATACTTCCTTTTGCTGATTTTAGGATTTTCTTCTTCACATTGATTTTAGACAGTTTAATAGTTGTATGGGCTGGTTTGACAGATGGAAATCTAAGGGAGCCCAAAATTTGCAGACTTATTTTTCCCCACTAAATATTTGCTAAGTGCTATGGCAGTGTGGGAGGCTGAGGGCCAGGCTAGAAAAGCCAAGTAGAATCTCTTGCAGTCTCATGGTGCTTAGGAGACTTGCTAGGTTCTCAAACTTTTTGATTTCAAGACCCCATTCCAATCTTAAAAGTTATCGAAGACCTCAAGGATGTTTTGCTTCTGTGGCTTATATCTGTTGGTATTCGCTATAACAGAAATTCAGAAATTAAAAGTAAGAATTTTAAATATTTATTAATTTTAAAACAATAGACCCATTACATGTGAACATTAATACACATTTTTTTTGGAAAAAGGATTACACTTTTGAAAACAAAAATATTATTAAGGAGTGGGATTGTTTTATATTTTGTAACACTCTTTACTGTCTGGTTTAATATCTGCCTCTGCTTTCAGTTTGTTGCAATGTGTTGTTTTGGTTGAAATAAATGAAGAAAATGGAACCTCCCACAGATAAGCAGTTGGGAAAAGGAGGAGTAATGCAATCACTTTTTCAGATAATTGTGAATATTCTTTTTTGATCTTATCCCCAAACTTGACAGGTGGTAGTTACTTAAAGGTTACTTGCAGTGTGGAATCTGAAACCGTGTCAATGCACTTTTTGAACTTTATTACATTAAAGTGTGTTGTTCTGTTTTGTATTTTGAGTGGGAGTTTTTACCCGTCCATAATTTTGGACCATGCACTGGTCATTTGGAAATGTTGATTCACTGAGGTATGTTTCTCTTCCAAACATTGACGTTTTATTATATGATATTTAAAAATACCATATTTATTAGTATCACCACTGATCTCATTAGAAAAGTTATTATGTATTGAAAAGCTGTCAAGGTATTAGTGGCTGATACAAGTTTTCCACAATTCTAATTTCTGCCCGAAAGTTCAAATTTTATTATTGGCAGAAAATGCTGTTATTTTTCTTACTGCATTTATTTTAGAGGAAACACCTAAATATTCAAGTTGAAAGACCATAATTTGTGTATTGGTTGTTCTTTCAAGTAAAAATTGGTGTTTCATGGAAAACCAAACAAAACCAGCTAATTCAGCTTGCACCTCAAAAGAATCACACAAGTGCTTTTCCTTGAGACAACCACTATATTTTGGTATATGGCAAAAATGCTTTAATATACTTCTCATTTTGTAATTTGGATTATAAAAAAGATATGTACTCGGCCGAGCATGGTGGCTCTCACCTGTAATCCCAGCACTTTGAAAGGCCGAGGTGGGCATATCACGAGGTCAAAAGATCGAGACCATCCTGGCCAACATAGTGAAACCCCATCTTTACTAAAATACAAAAATTAGCTGGGCATGGTGGCATGTGCCTGTAGTCCCAGCTACTCGGGAGGCTGAGGCAGGAGAATTGCTTGAAGCCGGAAGGTAGAGGTTGCACTGAGCTGAGATCACACCACTGCACTCCAGCCTGGTGCCTGGTGAAAGAGGGAGACTCTGTCTCAAAAAAAAAAAGACATGTACTCATAGGACAAGAGTTAATAAATTTCACCATTTGTACTGATCCATCAAGGACGTTGAGTAAAATTAGTTCTTACCATGGGCATATGGCACTGAAAACAATAAATGTACATTTGGTGCCACTGCCTTGATTCACTCATGCTAAGGCTCCAACAGTTTTACCTTCCATTGCTTTTGCACCATTAGTGCTAATATCAACACAGTGAGAAGGGCAAATAATATGTTAGTATTATTATATTACAGTTTTTATTTCATGCTCCCCCACCCCCTACCCCCCCAAAAAATCTCAGGACCCCTGGGAATCCACAGACCATACTTTGAAAACTGCTAATCTAGAGGAAGGAGCCTGCACAGGCAACTGACAGTTTCACCCTTGAGACATTTGAAAATAGAAGTGAGCAGAGTCTAACTAGAGCTTCATTCCAGTCCCATCCCAACTCAGTTCCTTTCTGTGTAACAGGGGAAAGGGCAGGGATAGGCTCAGTGGCTCACACCTGTAACCCCAACACTTTGGGAGACTAAGGTGGGAGGATCACTTGGGCTTGGAGTTCAGGACCAGCCTGAGTAACATGGTGAGACCTTGTCTCTACAAAAATAAAAATAAAAAATTAGCTGGGCCTGGTGTTGTGCACTGTAGGCTTAGCTACTCAGGAGGCTGAGGTGGGAGGATTTCTTGAGCCCAGGAGTTTGAGGTTACAGTGAGCTATGATTGCACTACTGCATTCCAGCCTGGGTAACAGAGCAATACCTGTTCCTGTCTCAAAAAAAAAAGAAGAAAAAAAGAAAGGACAAATCGTCTGTGGCAGATAATATCAACTATAGTCACTACAGTTATTTTATATATAGCATTTGACACACAATCAAATATTATGAGAAAGGACTTTGCTTTTAGCCATGAGGGAATAACAGGATCTAGAATTGCCTTTTCTCTATAAACAACTAAAAAATTGGGCAATATACCTGAAAAAACTGTCTTCATATAGGACAACAGGCACCATAACACTGTGATTTCTGAGAGAAAGGAAACAAAAGAGGTAACTCTATGATTGTCTTGGCTTTCTGCCTGGAGGCAACTTCCAGATCTTGGTGCAGGGAAGGGAAATCCAAACAGTGCCCTGTGGTATTGCTTTAATCTATGTTGGTGTCAGGCATAGATTAAAGTATGGACAAGTCTTGGTAATTAGAATGTGCAAAGTGATGTGCCAGACAGGACGGGGCTATGCAAAAAAAGAGACAAAGTTCTAGATAACTGTTTAGAAGTCCCTTTGAGTCCTATGTATGGGTAAGGTGAAATTCCATGAAGCTGTGTAAAACTAGCTTCTAAGAAAAAGTTATTGAGGAGCTAACCAATTCCCAGAGCACATACAGGACCAGAAATCATTTGAGTTCCCATTAGCCAGAGTGAAAACTCTCACAGAATACATGGGTTCTTCAGGGGAGGTATAAGAAGGGCCACGCCTTTGTAGTGGGAATAAATTAGATCTAGAATAAAGACTATTCTAGACTGACCATAAACATAAACTCCACATAGATCAAATTGGATCAGATGTAGTTAAGTCCAATCCTCTTTGAACAAACATAGCAGAATCTAACACTCGGCAACATAAAATCAGCTGCTTCACATACAATAAAAAAATTACTGAATATGTCAAGAGGCAGAGAAACAAAAATCAAAATTAAAACCAATCAATAGAAACAGACCCCAAAACAGAAATAATGGAATTAGCAGACAAGAATGTTGAAACAGCTATAAATATATTAAATATGTTCAAGTAATTAAAGCAAAACATCAACATAAGTAGAGAAATGGAAATTTAAAGAACCAAATGGAACCTATAAAGATGAAATGTAAAGCATATTTAATGAATTTCACTTAAGTAAATTACAGACAAGTTAGATACTGCAGAAGAAAAGATCAATTATATTAAAAATTACTATGTAGAATATGAAGCATACAGAGAAAGAAGTCTGAAAAAATTTATAGAGCTTCATTAATGTTTAGTCCAATATCAAGTGGTTTAAAATATAAGTAATTGGAACACCAGAACTTACACACGGAAAAATAAAGTTATAATGTTCCAAAAATTTCCAAATATGATGGAAAGCATAAACTTCTAGATCTAAGAAGCTCAATAGGCCGCAAACAGGATAATCATAAAGAAAACCAACACCAGGATACATCATAATCAAATTGCTGAAAATAACTGATAGAGAAAAATCTTAAATTCAGGTAGATTAAAAAAATAAGCATATTAAATAAAGAGGAATAAAGTTATGCTTATCATAGATATATCAGAAACTATAAAAGTCAGAAGATAATAGAATGATATCTTTAAAGTGTTGAGAGAGGAAAAAAAGCTATCAACCTAGATTACTAATATCCATTGAAAATAGCTTTCATAAATAGAGGTGAAATACTTTTTTGACAAATTAAAGCTGAAAGAAGTCATCACTAGTGATGACCAGTATGAGAAATGTTAAACATTGTTCTTCAGACAGAAAGGAAATGAAACTGAGCTACACAAAATAATGAAGCATTTTGGAAATGCTAAATATATGAGTAAATATAACATAGTTCTTGTTTCTCATTTAGAAATGTAAGGATAATTATTTTAAAGAAACAGCAATATATTATGGGACGTATAACATATGAGGTAGTAAAATGTATGAAAACAAGATAAAGGTTGGGAGAGGAATAATGGATGTATATTGTTGAAAGGTTAATACATTTTACAGAAAAGGTTAGAATTTGAAGGTAGACCTTGATAAGTGACATGGTTTGGATCCGTGTTCCCACCCAAATCCCATGTTGAATTATAATCCACAGTGTTGGAGATGGGACCTGGTAGAAGCTGACTGGATCGTGGGGGTGGCTTATCTTAAATGGTCTAGTACCGTGATCTTGGCACTGTCCTCATGGTAGTGAGTTCTTGCATGATCTGGTTGTTTAAAATTGTGTGGCACCACCTCCCTCCCCTGCTCCTGCTTTTGCCATGTGATGCACAAGCTCCTGCTTTGCCTTCTGCCATGATTGTAAGCTTCCAGAGCCCTCTCCAGAAGCAGATGTTGGTGTTATGCTTCCTGTACAGTCTGGAGAACCATGAGCCAATTAAACCATTTTTTCTTATAAATTACTCAGTCCCAGGTATTTCTTCATAGCATTGCAAGGAGTGGACTGATATAGTAAATGAAAGATGCATACTCCAAATCCTAGAAGAACCACTTGAAAAATAAGCCAAATAGTGAAGATAAAATGGAATTCTAAAAAGTAATCCAGAAGAAGGCAGGAAATGAGGAAAAAAAGGAAGAGAGAACAAATAGAAGACAAACATTAAGTTGGTAGATTTCTCATCAGTAATGAACTATAAATGGTCCAAATCTTCCTTAAAAAGCAAAGATTCTCAGGCTACATACAAGAGCAAGAAACTCTGCTGTCTATAAGAAGCTTGCTTTAATATAAAGACCAAAGAGATAGAAAAATATGTATCAGACAAACAGCAAGGAAGCTGGCATAGCTATGTTAATCTCAAAGCAGACATCAGAGCAAAGAATATTACAAGGGTTGAAAAGGAACATGTATTTTGTTGGTGCAACCTAATAAAAATGATGAAAGAGTCAATTCATCAAAAAGATACAAGTATTCTTAATGTGCACAGATGTATATAATAACAGCTTCAAAGTACATGGAGCAAAAACTGATAAATGAAATAGACAAATTTATAGTTATAGTAGGAGATCTCAGTTCTCCTCTCTCAACAATTGATAGAACAAGTATACATAAAAATCATAGGGATTTAGAAGACTGAACATCATTATCAACCAACTTGATCTGATTGATATTTATGGAATATGCCTCCAAACAAATACAGAGTAAATATTCTTTTTTTAAGTACACATAGAACTTCACTTAGATTGACCAAATGCTGGGTGATTTTTTTTAAAGTCTCAGTGATTTAAAAGTTTTGAAATCACAGAATATATTCCCTGACTGAAAACAGAATTAAATTAGAATTCACTATAACTGGTATCTGGAAAATTCCCAAATATTTAGAAATTAAACAGTAGTCATCTAAATAACTCATGGGTAAAATAAATTTTATGGGAAATTAGAAAATATTGTGAAGGAAAATGAAAAACAACATGTCCATTTGTAGGATGCAGGTAAAGCAATGCTAGAGGAAGATTAATTACTTTACAATAATGATCTAACCTTCTACCTGAATAAGCGAGAAAGGGAGCAAATTAAACCTAATTAAAGGAAGGCAATAATATAGAGTAGAATCAGTGAAACAGAAAGTAGACAAAATATATAGAAAAATGGACAAAAGCAAGTGCTGTTTTTTAAACAGTTCAGTAGACCCATCAATATCATAAATGATATTGAGAAGAATAGGCAGAGGCATGGGCAGTCCCCAGTTGGCTATAAAGGACACTTTTATATGAGACAGTAAGAGAGGAATCAAAACAGGCTAAGTTTCAGGAAGGGGAGCGCCAAGCTTGAAGTCTGGGTGTAACAGTTCTGGGGTCAATCCAAAGTTTGCCTGTACTTCTGACACTAGAATGAATTGAAGGGAATATTGAAGGAGGCCAGAATGGAATTCAGGGCGCCCAGCTAGCCCTCTATGTCAATACTGATGAACTGAAACTAAAAGGAAGAGGAGGAAATTACTTACCAGTTAGAAGAGAGTAATGTTTGCTGTTTCCTTATGAAAAATTATTTGATACTGTTTCTGCATTAAAAGTTCAGATGCTATGAAAGCCTTATGTTAGTCATTTTTTACTGTCAGATTTAAGCTAATGAATCATGCTCAAGTTACTTAAAAATTTTATCTAGTAAGAAAATGACTGAAAAGTGGTGTTTTTTTGAGAATTTTAAAGATAAACATGGAACTAAAGATCAAGAAAATCATGTAACTTGTTGTATACCCCCTTTTAAAACATGTGTTTAAAAAATGTTTGACTGGGAACAGTGGCTCATACCTGTAATCCCAGCTCTTTGGGGAGCCAGGGCAGGCGGATCACGAGGTCAGGAGTTCGAGACCAGCCTGACCAACACAGTGAAACCCCGTCTCTACTAAAAATAAAAAGATTAGCCAGGCATGGTGGCATGTGCCTGTAATCCCAGCCATTCGGGAGGCTGAGACAGGAGAATCATTTGAACCTGGGAGGCGGAAGTTGCCGTGAGCCGAGATCATGTCATTGCACTCCAGCCTGGCGACAGAGCGAGACTCCATCTCAAAAAAAAAAAAAAAAAAAATTTAAGCTGTTACCCTTTACTGCTGCAAGCAGTAGCTGACTGTTTTATTTTCTATGGTCTAAGTCAAAATAGGCAGCTAAATGAAATCTACATCAGTATACAGGCAAAGCTCCTGCCCAATTAGCTTCTTTACATACAAGCAAAGTTATACTTGGCTGATGTTAAAGCATGTATACTTGTATTTATTTTCGTCTAGGGTCTACTTTTGATTACAGAAAGGTTCGATTAGGTAAATTTTAGATGAAGCAAAATTATTGGACTGAATTCTCAGGTCATTTTTAATAATAGAAGAGTTTAGGATTAGTATTATTATAAATGTCAAACTTAATAGTTTTTTTTTGTTTTTTTTTTTAATAAATGTTTCCTGGCCAGGCGTGGTGGCTCATGCCTGTAACCCCAGGACTTGGGAGGCTGAGGTGGGTGGATCACGAGGTCAGGAGTTTGAGACCAGCCTGAGCAACGTGGTGAAACCCGTCTCTACTAAAAATACAAAAATTAGACGGGTGTGGTGGCATGTGCCTATAGTCCCAGCTATTCAGGAGAATCGCTTGATCCTGGGAGGCAAAGGTTGCAATGAGCTGAGATTGCGCCACTGCACTCCAGCCTGGGCGACAGAGTGAGACTCCATCTCAAAAAAAAAGAAAAGAAAAAGAAATGTTTCCCATTAGAAAAATGGCTAAAATCCTGTTTATAAAATATTTATTTATGTGCCTGGCAAAGAGAGATGTCTAGATTGTTTTTCACCAAGTGATAAATTCCGGGTAAGAGGTTGTAGGGTGATTCCCACCCCCCCATTTTTATATTTGTTTGACTTGCTTGAATCTTAAAATAATGATCATGTATCATTCTTTTCAAAATCTATGAAGCATTCAAAAAGTGCTGACACATAAGAAACATAAAGTAAATATTTAATACAAGAATGAATAAAATGGATTTTGTGGGGAAACCAAGGGTAATAGGTTGAGTTATAATATGTGCTGATACATTAGACCTACTGCAAAGTAACTTTGGCAGTAATTCTAGTTTGTTGCCCCCCACGAAGGAATATGGGTTTATACAATTTTAGTATACTAGAAGTACCTATAACTTCCTAAAACATTTGCCCTTTTCATACAGCTATTGAATGGGGTAAAGCATCAAGAAAAATCTTTGCTTTCAAATGATTTTTGTACCCGCTTTGTAATCCCCCGTCCCAGCTTGGAATAGAAACTACTTCCGGCAGCAGGAACTCTCTAAGGACATTATTAGTCCTTATACCCACAGTAGACAGAGTTATACAAAGAGTTAATATAAAAATATTGTCTATTTCTTACCAGCCGGGATAGAAGGAGGTTAGTCAGTTTTCACTCTTTCTTTATTCCCTCTTATCATTACATGTGGTATTTTTTAAAAAAACTTTCCCGTCTGGCTTCTTTCTTATCTCTCATGAGCTGTAGATACAGGATTGTGGGCCTCCTAGTTCACCACTGATCTTACAAGTAAGACAGGGTTTCTTTTCCAACAGCCATGTTGTTATCTCTTGCACAATAGTAAAATACTTAGGCCCTAAATATAAAACTTGAGCAAAAAGGTTCTAAGTATTAAAAAGTCTTTTAAGAAATCACAAATCATCTTTTCTTCTGCATTTCTCCTTCCCCCGTCAGTTCAAGGAACCTTAATTTGAAGCATTATTTTGTATTTTATGCGGCTAGTAATTCCAAAAAAAGTTTTAAAAAATGTTGGCTATGATGGAATCCAATTAGATTTTCCATTTATTACTAAATCACACAAACTCAATTATTCTCTAGATTATTAACACTTAAAGAATGTTAAGAGTGAAAGTAGACTTGAGTCATACGTCAGATTAGCATAGTGTCCTGGTATTTCCAGGATGGTTCTGGCTTATATCTATTTTCTTAGCACATTTTTAATACACTTTTTATTTGGAATAATATTAGATTTATGGAAAAGTTGCAAAGATATTTTAGAGAGTTCCTTTATACCCTACACCTCCAGCTAGTTTCCCCAATTATTAACATCTTATATAATCATGTTACATTTGTCAAAACTAAGAAATCAGCAGTGATACGTTACTATTAATTAAACTCCAGACTTTATTAGGATCTTACTAGCTTTTCCACTAATGTTATTTTTCTGTTCCAGGATCCAATTCAGCATACCGCATTACGTTTAGACGGCGTGTCTCCGTAGTTTCCTCTGTTCCGTGACATTTTATCAGTCTTACTTTTTCATGGCTTTAACAGTTTTGAGGAGTA